CACTCGTCTTAGCTTGGTGACGGATTATTCGCACCATTTAATCTATCAAACACTAATAAAATATTCAACAAAATCCTCAATACGGACCTAACGAGAATGAGATCAAATAACCATAAAATGAATGATAAATATAAAATGTGGCGGTGTTGGGCAACGTCGCCGGAGGAAGACCTAGGCGAGTTTCGCACACAACAACACTATCGTAGTCGCTCGCTACACCCAGCTCAGTGTAACCACATCCACACTAATAATGACACAACTACAACACGTAAAGAGAGAGAGAGAGAGAGAGAGAGAGAGACTTTTCTCACCAATTCTCTACAGGTTCTACACTATATATGAACTAATATTGGAATTTACTTATTACACAATCAAAGGGTCTTATCGGGGATTTAAAAAAAAAAAAAAATAAAATACCGTATTAGAACCTGTGAGTATGTGTAAAAGAGACGCCTAAAGTGTACAGTGTGTAGGCCTATAGGGTCGTGCCATTAGTGAACCCTTAAACCGATAAGACTGTTTACTACCCTGTTACACTATTACATGTGTGAGGACGGCTCTGGTTCCTCACACACACACACACACACACACACACACAATGCTAAACAGCTCAGTAATCCATATAGTTCCGGAATTCACTTATTAATTATGATTACCTGTGTGTGTGTGTGTGCGTGTGTGCGTCGCTGTAAATAAAACACAGACACAGTTTAATGTCCTCGACGAGCGGATATATCTGTATAAAGTTTTTAACCCGTTAGTCGTGTAGTTCATTAAGCTACGGTAAAAGTTTTTAATACCAGGGCCCATTACGATGTTGGCTGCTGGGTGTAAATCATATTATAATGAGCTGTAAATCATTTTATTATGCACCACTATACTGTACTGCCTCACACACACACACACACACACACCAGCTTCTACACCACCCTCGACACCGGCTCCTACTACCACCTGAGATCCCTAGCCCGAGAATTGCTGTTCGACACCACAACCGCATCCAGCCCATACGTGCACGAACTGATCACTATAAGAACAGCCCAGTCCCAACCATTGTAAAAATTATCAATAACTTGTAATAAACCAGTGTATTCACTCCCAGTAAACACTACTTCTTGCACTGTCACTATGTTGAAATGCACTGTAGTTTGAGCTTCTCCCCATCTAGTTATTATATATCTTATTTGTATCGCTTATGTTACTTGTATATTTTTTGTAATTCGAAACCCATTCACCAAATATGTAACTGTATATTTTCAGCCTTCTGTCTGCCAAGCTCTTTCAATAAACCGTTAATTATTATTATTATTATTATTATTATTATTATTATTATTATTACACACACACACACACACACACACACACACACACACACACACACGCTGTAATTGAGTGTGGTGGTGGACGGGACATAGGATACGTTGACTGTGTATACGACTCAACCCAACTAAGGTAGGATGTAATATGAGACTAAAAGGATGTTATACCTCAAGACACAAGTCCTTCAGGGAGAGAAAGTGTCCCTGATCATTACACAAACGTCGTATAAATATTGTGAAGGAAAACATTAGCATTTTCCTCATATGTGAATAATGTTAAATATATTTATTAATGAAAACAAAAGACGATCGTTATATTGCAGGTAGAGTTGTGGAACTCTTAAATACCGTATAAAGGTGTAACATAATCTTCCTCAATAACCGAGCCAATTATTTATTTTCCTTTAAATTTAACTAAACAGAACCAACTGGAAATATATTCTCATTTCCTTAACACACAATAACATCAATTAAACTTGAGGATTGAGTTAGATGAAATGATAATACCAGGTTTATCTTCCTTCATCAGAAACTGTAGTGACGCCGGTAACTCCCTAGTCAGCCACGTGAGGTATCCTGAGCTGCCACAGTCATTCTTTTAGTGGCACGTCTCCCTGACCGAAGCCTCTGAATGTTGACCCCTTGGCCCCCTGTGAAGTGTAGCGCGTCGTGACTCTCACCTCCTCCTTCACTCACCGCGACACGCCCATGGCTGTTTCTTCGATCTTCAGATTCTTGTTCTGTTGTTACGTGTTAGCTGTTCCATTTTTCCTGCCAGAGGTTACGTAGCTGTTCTTTTGTTTTCCTGCTGCATCTTGGTTTTACAGTAGCGTCTTGGGTTCTTACCTGGTCAATAGTTTTCGTTATCAAACCTAATTTAACTTGTCCTGACGTGATCTAACATAATTTATCCCGAGTTAACCTAACCTGGTCTGATCTAGCCTAACCTTACCACTTTGAACAGGTCTCAGGTATTGACTATGTGTAGTGTAAGGAATTGACTCAGCAGCCATACACAGCCATACACCGTCAAGTGCTTATGAGGTTCCTTGCCGTGTTGAGAGAGCCATAACTAATCCCTCATTGGTCAGGCTGCCAGGTATGTGAGACCTAAAATAACCAGGGCAGAGTCTGGAGGCGCAGTACTTACCTTTGATAAGAGGGATACAATGGGAGGCATTATTGACCTTATGAGAGACTGAGTCAGTGGGTAGATTGTTAATATTATGGGGGATGTAAGAGTCAAATGTTATGTGAGGCCTGTTAACGTAGCATGGGGGCCTGTTAACGTAGCATGGGGGGCCTGTTAACGTAGCATGGGGGGCCTGTTAACGTAGCATGGGGGGCCTGTTAACGCAGCATGGGGCCGTGGCAGTATGGGGGCCTGTTAGCATGGCATGGGGCCTGTTAAGCAGCATGGGGCCTGTTATCGAAGCCATAGGCCTGTTAACGTAGCATGGAGGCCTGTTAACGTAGCATGGAGGCCTGTTAGCATGCATGGAGGCCTGTTAACGTAGCATGGAGGCCTGTTACGCATGGGGCCTGTTAACGAAGCAGGGGGGCCTGTTAACGGAGCATGGAGTCAGGGAACCGGGTAAGATTTGCTTAATGAAATATCAAGACGACGACGGCCACGTAAACAGACTGAACCTGTTGGTTGGTCAACATACACGACTCAACTTAAGTTCCTTCAAAGATTTTTTTTATAACCAGGGCTTCCTCAGCAGTACTCAGGGTGTCGCTCACAACTAAGACTTGTTGACGTCTGCTTTACCGGGATTATGGATTTATACAGCAGGAGAAGGACGAGGAAAGTGTGAGTATTAGGGAGAAGGTGTGAGGGGGGGTCAGGTGAGGGGTGAGATTGGGTGAGGGGTCAGGTGAGGGTGGGGGTCAGGTGGGGTCAGATGCAGAGGTGAGGTGAAAGAGTGGGTGAGGGGTGGGGGTCAGGTGAGGGTGAGGTCAGGTGAGGTGTGAGGGTTAGGTGAGGGTGGGGTCAGGTGAGGTGAGGGGTCAGAGTGTGAGGTGAGGTCAGGTGAGGGGTGAGGTCAGGTGAGGGGTGGGTTAGGTGGTATGTATTGTATTTGTAGTTTTTTTTTAACAATACATCGACAAAATACAGTATCATATATCCATTAGGGTAAAAAAAAAAATCCGGACACCTTTCAAAATGTTATATTCTACACGTACACAAAGAATTCGTCCCTGTGTACGTTTTTGTGTGAAGGTGCGTAAATGTGTGTATACTATGTGAGTATACAAATTTACCTCATTACATATTCATTTTATTCTCTGAGGTAATTCTCGTCAGCGTCCAGAACTCACTTACAAGACTTCACCAGATTTACACAACGACTCAACTTTCCATTCCTCAGACGCCAGCCGGTATCTGGATAAGAACTCAGTGGAGAAGATCATTGAGTATATCCGATAGATTGCTTTACCTCTCTCTCTCTCTCTCTCTCTCTCGTAAATCTTCGCGTGAGAGTATTGTGCACAAACTAGCCTCTGGGGAGTGCTTGGGTGGTGCTACTAAAAAGCCAGAAACCTAACCTAACCTAACCAAACCTAACCTAACCTAACCTAACCAAACCTAACATAACCAAACCTAACCAAACCTAACCTAACCAAACCTAACCTACCCATTGGTTCTTTATATACAGAATTTACTCGTTATATTAGCCACGTTATGTACACTAACTCAGGGGAGGAAATATTCTCTCTCCCTTAATATCCTCCCCCACCCCCTAACCTCCTCCCCATCCCGCTAACCTCCTCCCTATTCCCCTAACCTCCTCCCTATTCCCCTAACCTCCTCTCCACTCCCCTAGCCTCCATCCCATTCCCTTAACCTATCCTCCCTACTCTAATTCCTCCCCACTCAACCTTAATCACAGTCGATACATAATCTCGCCTCTATTATAATCCATTAATTAACTTAGCAAGATTATTAGTGATTACTTAATGGTGACAGAAGTATAAAAGGTTAGGTTAGGTTAGGTTAGGTTAGGTTAGGTTGACCTTGAGGTGGTGTTGACAGGTATCGTCCCCTCCCCCTCTCACTAATGGCAGAATAATACCTACCATCCACTCAACACCTGCGACCTTCAACACTCAGCACACATCATTAATTCTACACCAACATTTAATTCAGTATTACTAATGTATCATCCTGACAGTATATCACAGAACACACCGGCTATGCATCAACTGTGCCTGACAATCCATTAACACTCACTGCCATGTTTTGAAAGCTGACCTGCTGTTACTTTTTTCTCGACGTGACGATACTTTAATTCTGCCGATAATGTGTGGTTCCTTCTGATCTTTTCATCATAAAACACCGAATGTTCATTATTATTATTTAACTTATTTATGAGGATAATTTCGTTATATTTGTTAGTTATTATGTACTGTATATGAGACGCGTGTATATGTTTAAGAAATATTTTGAAATAGATTAAATGTTGGAAGAATGTCAACATGGAATAAAGACAGTTCATGTTTTTGTTTCTCACTCAAAGACGAAATTCCGTTCTTAAGTTAGCGAAGAGTTGTGTCTGGTTAATCCCATAACGAGAGACTCGACGCTCGTATATTGTCGACGATCAACAGAAAACGGAGAAGAAACCGCGAAGAAAGAAAACGAATCTAAGGAGTAACTATACTAAAAGAACTTACCTGCATACACGACTGGATAAATTCGTCAATGGTAACCACACCATCACCGTTCAAGTCCAGCTTCTTAAACAGTCGCTCTACGTGTTCCCGAGTCTGTTTGTCTTCGACCTGTGGGGAGAAAGATACAAGAATGAGAGATAGAGATAGCCTGAGGATCTGAGAGACAATGGAAGAGTTGGCGAGATACCGATCGTAAAGAGACGAAGAAAGAGACAGAGTGTGACGACCTGGGTACAGGAGACAATGAGATGGGCCTGAGAGACAGTTATAGACGGGGTGATGTGATAACGAGATGTGAGAGACAGGTGAGAGACAGTGTGAGACGTAATGAGTTTGTGAGAAAAAATTTGGAGTGGGGAGGGAGACAAGGGGAGAGCGAGAGAGGGGAGGGGGGAAGAAAAGAGAAGAAGAGTGAGGAAGAAGAAAGGAGGAGAAGGGGGAGAGGGGAAGAGGAAGGAGAGGGGGAGAGGAATGCCATCAAGATCCTCGCTCATGTTATTAAAAACACAATTTTCTTAATAGTCTTTTTAATAACACCTGATCCCACCAGGTAATATAACAAGGTGTGATTGTGTTTACCTGCCGTGTATGAGGTGATGAGGAGACACGATAGTTCTTGTGTTACCTGTGGCTGTGTATACTTTATGTGTATGTGTGTTAGTTTACATACACATATATTTAAACCTATATATTCAATACTTACACACACACGCAGAAGTATACCCTGATTTTATTTTATGTGTATATGTTTGCGTAGGTGATAGAATATACACATACACACAAATACACACACAGGTATATTCAAAACTATTCATATACTCATCAAACTCACCCAATGAATGTCTCTCTCAAAAACAAAAATTATAAATTACCTTTTAGAATTTTTGATTGCAGTTGTAAATGGGAGTTATAAATCCCCCTTCCCCCCTTCCCCCCCCCCTTCCCCCTCCCTCCCTTCCCTCACTATGACTCATTTTCCACACATTTGAGGTTTTAATTACAGTGTTGCGTCGACCATAAAATCAGTGTTACCAGGTCCGGCTCAACACCCCAAAAAAACCTGTAAGTGTTTGGAAATGATTCTTACTTAAATAATAATAACTTCATTACAGAAAGAAACAAAAAATAATATCGTGGTTTTTTATTTGTTATTTTTTTTTTAGTCGTTTTAGGATGAATTGATGAAATGTAATACCAATTGATAAGGGAAATGAGGGTTTAGAGGGGAAAAATAAGAACAAAATAATTAAAGGATGATAGTACAACCTATCAATGATCTGGTCTGTCTGTCTGTCTGTCTGTCTGTCTGTCTGTCTGTCTAGATGTATGTCTGTCTGTGTATCTGTCTGTCTGTCTCTTCTGTCTATCATTATTGTTTGTGTTTTTCTGTCTACCTGATTATCTTCACAAAGAAGGAGAGAGAGAGAGAGAGAGAGAGAGGAGAATGTGTGTGTGTGTGTGTGTGTGTGTGTGTGTGTGTGTGTGTGTGTGTCACATGGAACACCTGCCTCTGTCAACACACTGACAGACACTAATGACTTCAACTGGATTACACTTTGTAACAATAAGGCTTCCCTGAGAGAGTACCTGTCCACAACTTCCCTCTCTTCCCTCTCTTCCCTCTCTTCTCTATCTTCCCTCTCTTCCCTATCTTCCCTCTCTTCCCTATCTTCCCTCTCTTCCCTCTCTTCCCACTCTTCCCTCTCTTCCCACTCTTCCCTCTCTTCCCTCTCTTCCCACTCTTCCCTCTAACCTATCTTCCTCTCTTCCCTCTTCCTCTAACCTATGTTCCCTCTCTTCCTCTCTTCCTCTTCCCTATGTTCCCTCCCTCTCTTCCCTCTCTTCCAACTCTTCTCTCTTCCCTCTCTTTAAATCTTCCCTCTCTTCCTCTCTTCCCACTCTTCCTGTTCCTCTCTTCCCTCTCTTCCAACTCTTCCCTCTCTTCCACTCTCCTTTTCCCTCTTCCCTCTAACCTATCTTCCCTCTCTTCCCACCTCTCCTTCTCCTCTCTTCCCTATCTTCCAACTCTTCCTCTCTTCCCTATCCTTAACTCTTCCCTCTCTTCCTCTTCCCTCTCTTCCCAATCTTCTTGCTGCCAAACTGTAAAGTAAGGGAAAAGTAGATGGTCTAGTAGAAGGTATGAGAATAGAGAGGACAATAAAAGGGAGGAGAGAGGTGAATCGTTTTCTTGTACTAAAATCACCGACAACAGAGGGATTAACAGTTTACAGCATGTGTGTGTGTGTGTGTGTGTGTGTGTGTGTGTGTGTGTGTGTGTGTGTGTGTGTGTTCCCCATGATCCCCAGCCTATCTATTTATAACCTAACCTAACCTAACCTAATCTAAATCCCCAGGTTAAAAAAAAAGAAGTCCAAAGGAAGGTATTCTATAGGCTCAGGTAGATACGGTGACGCCCAGGTGATACAGGTAAAACACACACACACACACACACACGTAAGTCACCTAAGACTGTCATCTATACGGTCTCTTGACGCAAAAAACAAACAAAAACAAAACACAAAAAAACAAAAACAGAAGGTAAAAAACAAACAAGTATTTTTGTGTGTGTTTGTATGTGTGTTATTTGTCAAGGTCTTCCTCAGGTGATAACATACACACATTCCTCCACTCAGTTATATCTTGTTTTTGTATGTTTGTGTGTGTTTGTTTGCTTGTTTTAGGGTGTTTGTGTGAGTGTGTTTGTTTCTGTGTGTTTGTTTGTGAGTGTTTGTGTTGTGTGTGAATGTATTTATGTAAGTGTGTGTTTGTGTGTTCTTTGTGAGTGTTTGTGCATGAATGTGTTTGTGGACAGGTAAAGTAGGCGATCTTGAGCCTTATATCAAGGGGGAGTGGGGGTGTGTGGGTGGGTGGAGTGGAGTGGTGGAGTGGTGGGTGGTGAAAGAGGACATAAAACTATACGAGGTGATGTGTTTCCTGAAGAAGGTTCCTTTAATCCTGAAGGGGGACAGGCAGGGTGATGGTGCCTCTATGGTATCTCTCTTCTGTAGTGTATACAGTGCCAATATAGTGCCACTCCCTTCAAGTCTCTTCCTTGAGGGTGAAAAAGGTTTTGTATTGTGTCTCCTTACAGCTTAATAGTGCCACGAAACATCATATTATGGTGTCTGTAGAGTGCCATTTTTTATATGACGTTAGTGCCAGGGGCCAGTTATGGTGAATGTGTAGTGCCGGTAAACGTCGATGGGAGGAGTTTAATGGCTTTTCCTCTTGGGTGATAATGCCGCTAAACTTTTACGATGGCACCTTATTTATCACACAAATGACAGTGCCACCTGACCGTCTGTCCATCCCGGTGGGTGATAAACGGCTGTCTGGATTCTTAGATAACAACCTGTCTAACTTCTGTATGTGATCTGTCATTGATGGTAGTGGTGATAGTGGAAAGGAATGATAGTGACAGTAGACAGGGATGATAGTGACAGTAGACCGTTATAGTGACAGTAGACAGTAATGACAGTGAGAGGAGACAGAGATATATGGTGACAGTCGATGATGATGGTTGTGGTGACAGTGGACAGTGTTGATAATGACAGTGGACAGTAATGATGATGGCAGTTGATATAATAACAGTAAACAGTAATAAATAACAAAGTAAATCATCATCATCATCATCATCATCGTCATCATCATCATCATCATCATCATCATCATCATCATCATCACAATCTAAGAAGAGACACATCAATATATTTTTTCCTCAGAGAGACAAATTACTTATACCTTTTTCCTTCCTCGTTAACTTAAACTCTTTCAACAGAGATCTATCTCCTTTATTACTTTCATCTTCACAACTTTCACAACTTTCACCCACAAATTACTTTCTCACTTCTGGTAATTTTAAAAACTCTGGGAAGAAATCCAATTCGACTAGGTATTGTTTACGTCACGAGAGAGAGAGTTGTATTGACCAGTATTATTATTGTCTCCACTATAACACCACCTAACACCTCCCCTCACCCCGATAACACCATATAACACAATAACAAGGCAACTCTCTGCCCTAAAGCATTACTATGGTACACTCTTTCCCCTCACAGTGTACGCAATAACACCTCCCCTCAGATGCCACTATAAACGCCATAATAAAAGACTTCCCCTCACTGACCCACAACAAAGTATAAATGACAAAAACAATAACAGCCGAGGGGAAATTTTTTTTTTATAATTTCTGTATTTCACTGATGACAAAAGCAACACGTAGACAGCCACACAGACAGACATAGATAGATAAGACATTCTTGCTTCTCTCTTTAAATTCCTCACCTTTCTCATCTCCCCTCACCCCCCTCACCCCACCCTCCTCCTCCCTCATTTGTCAGGGGCGGTGTCAGCTCGCACCCCAGAGGAGTAAAATGGCCCTTACTATTGAATTCTTGGCTTTGTCTGTCATCTAGATTGATAGACACTCACTCTGGGAGGGGGAGGGGGGGGGGAGAAGGAAGAGGGGGAGGGTAGGGAAAGGGGGTGGAAGAAAGAAAGGCACTCACAGGCACCCCCACAGGAGCTTTTATCGAGACGGCTGGGGTATGAGGGTGGGTGGGTGGCGGGTTGTTCAATCTTCGCTAAGTCTTGATATGGACAAAAGTTTTATCACTGATCACCAATAATAATAATAATAATAATAACCTCTGCCACACACACACACATCAACAATAACATACAACCTAACCCTGATATACACAAGTTAACAGGTCAAGTTGGTGGTGGGAATCATCACATTGAAACACAGAAATACTTACTCTTATGTCTATCACTCTAATTGCCCTAACTACCTTGGTAACTCGGAACGATCGTCTTTTAGGGAGTAAAGAACCAATTAAAAGTAAAAAAAAAGTGTAAATAAGTAAAAAAAAGTAAATTATAAAGTGTTGTTGACGTGTAAGTTATGTAGGTGGAAGGTGTTTTGGGATTTGTTTATTTACAATTTTTTTTACTTAAATTTTACTTTTTGTTTTCATTTTGATGATATGTAAAAATGTAAATACATATAATGTCTTTGGGTTTTATATGATGATGAATTTAAATGCACAGGTAATGATGAATTTAAATGCACAGGTAATGATGAATTTAAATGCCCAGGTTAATGATGAA